TTCATGGTAAACGGAAGTTTACAATTTTTCCATTTTTTGTCTTCTTAATTGGAAGAATGTGCTGCAGATTGTTTCTCCATATTAATTCTCGATGTGTAATTAGTAACTATAAATATTCGTGATTGGGGAAGCAGGAACAGTGGTAGTGCCACAGAGGGGCACAGAGACTTTCATAAGCACAACTGGACATTTAGATGGGAGGATAGACCTCCACAGTGGTGAAAACTTAGCAGAAAATGTAGTTGCTTCTCTTTCTGAAGGAAGCGGTATAAAAGCTGAACTGGATAACCGGGGTCTCATGGATCTCTGTATGATGGCTGCCAAGTTAGCGTACGAGAATGCCCAAGTCGTTAGATATATCGTGGTTGATCATTGGAAGGCAAGCTATTCTTGTCCAGTCCAGCTCTCTCTTTGGTACATTTGTGGCTAGTTAATCGTAATATATACTAACTAGTTTAATTTTGACAACGAAAGCAGATGCATTTTGTGGATTTCTACAATTGCTGGAATGGTAAGGAGTATATTTTGATTCTTGAATATGACTTTTGGATTTGGTCATCAATACTATCGAATTTGTAAGTTATAAGTTTAATAGGTCCGATTAATTTTTCTTCTCCATTATCGGATGATGAATGATAGATTTCCAAAAGCAGATGTCCACCCAAGTGTTCATACTTTGTGATAAGCCTATAGATGCAAATTTGATATTGATCAGCTTCAGAGGCACAGAACCTTTTGATGCCGATGATTGGAGTACCGATTTTGATTACTCTTGGTATGAAATTCCTAAGTTGGGGAAAGTACACATGGGATTCTTAGAAGCCTTAGGCTTGGGCGATAGAACGAATGCTGCAACCTTCTACAATCAACTTATAGCGATACCCAACAAATTCACTCCTGAAAATGGTGTTGGTGTTAGCAAAAGACCTTCCGAAGGTACCCAAGCATTGTCCTCAGACATCATGGAACAAGGTGGACGTGATCAGTACGACAAGGTAGTTCCACCGGACATGGTGAAGAAGTCTGCATACTATGCTGTAAAAAGAAAGCTCAATAGCTTACTAGAGGAGCACAAAAATGCAAAATTCATGGTTACTGGACATAGCCTAGGCGGCGCGCTTGCCATACTGTTCCCATCAGTGCTGGTGTTGCATGAGGAGATGGAGTTGATGCAGAGGTTGCTTGGTGTGTACACATTTGGGCAGCCCCGGGTTGGTAATAGGGAACTGGGGAGGTACATGGAAGCCCATTTGAATAATCCGGTGCCAAAGTACTTCAGGGTGGTCTACTGCAACGATCTTGTGCCCCGGTTGCCTTACGATGACAAAACTTTCTTGTTTAAGCACTTTGGGGTGTGCCTTTACTATGACAGCCTATACAATGAACAAGTATGTACTCGATCCTTCACATACACTCTTTCTGTTTTGGTTTTTGCATTACTATTAATTGTCATTGAATTCGTTCCTGTTAACTTAACGTCCAGTAAACTAGCAGGCCGAATCATATATAGGGAATATAAAGCATTTTACCTTGCAGTTCCTTGTTTACACATTGCAGCATGCTTATTAAAATCGGCACAATAGGAAGTTTCTGTTTGGGTAATTAATTTTCTCAATCTTTCAAACTCTAAAATCGATTCATTGGGGGCGTAGTTTTATGTTTCATCTTTTTCTTTTACTGAATGATTTTCTTCGTCTTTGATGTGTGCATATTTGAAGAGAGTGGAGGAGGAGCCAAACCGTAACTACTTTGGAATGAGATATCTGATAGCAGCATATCTCAATGCTGTTTGGGAGCTAATAAGAGGCTTAACAATGGGCTACACACATGGACCTGAGTACAGGGAGGGTTGGTTCTCCATTTTGCTAAGGATCATAGGACTTGTAGCTCCTGGTTTCTCTGCACATTCCCCCACAAATTACATCAATTCCGTGAGGCTCGGAAAGGACCGCGTTATTCAGATGCTCTCTTTTTAAGCAGAGAAAACTTACTTGACACAGGGTTACCCATTGTGCCCTTCTCTCTTCTCACATGAGATGGGCACAGTGGGCTCGGTACAATCCTATGCCAAGCCAGTTCACTTTATCTTGCAAATGATAGTATGGCTTCTGGTCATATGGTAAGATGGAAAAAGAGATGGCTTTCTTAGTGTACAAGTAATGTGCATTTTCATGCTGTTTTGCGTAGTCAAATTCCTTGCCACAAAATCCAGTTGGATCATGCTGTCAAATTCTCCATCGTTGTCCGCGAACCAAATTTGAATTTAGGCATCAGTGTTTTATACTTTGATGGAATAAAAAAGACAAATTTGTACGCATGCTTCTATCCATCTCTATACTCAAATTCAAATTAGTCCCTCTTTTCTCCCCCCAAATAGTATGCGCCCCTCTTTATTCTTGGCCATGTAACTGAACAAATCAAACGAAAATAAGGACACGAGGAACAGAGGTCTGTTCTTATCTCACTTTTCTTTGCTACCGATGGAGCTCGCTCCGGTGAAGAAGTTAACTGGAGACGTGAGACCCATACGAGGGACACAATATCAAACTAACAAGTTTTTTTGACGGAAGGTAAGAAGGACCAATGATGGACATCTGTTAACTTTAAAGACGTAAATTAACAGAATTTTAGTTCACGACGAGTGGGACTGAAGAAACTGGCTGGACTTGTAAAAACCACTTTTGTGAGAACGGTGTTGCTGTGGATTCAACTGATAGGAGTCTTTGGGAAGAAGGTTTCTGCACCTAGAGTTTGAAATGGTTTATTCCTAAAACATAAGTAATGATTCATGCACAGAAGAATAAATGTAGATGTTGCCTGACTATGGACCCATCATTCTTGGCTTTATCCTGGAAAAGAATCCGGATCCTAGCCGGATCCTCTTTGTAAGAATTCTGGGAATCCGTGAATCATGTTCGTTCATTGTACATCGTACGGTCAGAAATTATTTTAAATATTTTTATTTAAAATTAAACATAAACAATACCTGATAAAACTGACTGCACGATATACCATAAACGGATACGATTCACGAATTCCCAGGATCTTCACCAAAATAATCTGGAGAGGGTCTTGTTGGTAGGGAAAAAGGTTTTGGAAATGGAACATGAAATTTTGTGAGTCTTTTAAATTTGGGTTTTTTGGAACTTGAGGGACTGTTTGGTACGTGGGACGAGACGGAACGCAGTGGGACAAAGAGTTCCGTCCCACGTTTGGTGCATTAAAAATAGTGGAACGCGCTGTCTCGCATAACAAAATTTGGTTACTTTTTCGTTCCACCTTCCCTCTGGAACGATTCGTTCCACACCCGTGGAACACAAAATTATAATTTTGTTTGGACAAAAATACCCCTCATCTTTTTCATTAATTCCACTATCTACCCTCCCTCTCTCTTGTAGCCTCCTCCTCCTCCACCACAAACCCAGCTGCATCTTCCTCGACCTCAACACTCCATGCACCACAGACCCACGCTCTGGGGAGTTCGTGGCGGTTCCTCTTCATCGAATTTTTTTTCTGCAAAAATCGGTATTAAAAACGTTAATTAGGAAAAAATAAATGATTAGTTGGAAAGGATCAATGCAGGAGGAGTTGTGGTTGTGATTGCCTTGGCAGCGCCAACTGCTCCGGCCCACCACCAGCTCATGATCTTGGATTTGGAATTCTTTGAGAAATTGTAAATTACTTTCACAAATTTTTTGATCGGATTTCTAACTTGGAGTCATCGATTTACAACATTTCTGCGCCATATACCCTGAAAACAAAATCTCAATCTACAGGACAAAAAGATCTTTGCTTATTTGCTGCTGGGTTTGAAAATCTTAGTGAGATAGAGATTTTGGGAAACTTTTGTTTTGATGGGGGTTTGCTGGAGCAACAAAATAAAAATAAAAAGTCTTTTCAAAACGGGTAATGGGGAAGAAGAATATGAACCGTTCATCTTCTTCTTTTTTTCTTTTATTTTTTAAGTTTTAATTATATAAAAATAAAATTATTTTTTATTATTAAATATTTTAAATCTACATAGAAATATTTAATTAGATTTATGAGACCTACTTAGATTTTGGATTGGTGCTTTTGACGTAGTTTTGAACCGATGATTATTTATTCAAAAAATTGATGCTTCACTTGTTTTACCATTTAGTCGTACCTTTAAATTGAATATGAACAAGTTAAAAAAAAACCGTTCCGTTTCGTTCCATGCATAAAAATTGTACCAAACAACAGGCGGAATAAGGCTAAGTTAGTCATTTAATCTTTTGGTTCTGTGCCGTCATGCGCTTACCAAACGCAGAACGGAACAATTGTCCCGTTTCATCCTACGCATACCAAATATAAGGTTTCGTTCCGTTCCGTCCTGTCTGCGTAGGTACCTGAAAGAATTTGTTCTTTTCCGACTGGAACCCATCCATGCCTCTCTTACTTTCTGGTGGCATATACTTTGCAAACGTTGAAAAATGTCTTGAGTTTGAATATTCGTTTGTGCTGACACGTATATAGTTTTCGTTTTTCTATAAAAGGGTAATTGGGGGATATAGGTAATTTTTCGCTCTAACATCTAGAAGAAATGTGACACCATGATTAAACCCTACCTGCAAAATACACACGTACAAAGAAGCCTACCTGCAAAATACACACGTACAAAGAAGCACAGCACTTTGGTGATTGCATCGTGCCCCTTACTGCTGCATGCAATTATGCACACTGCAGCTCGCATAAGAGCCTTTGCCATCCTTTTGTCATATTTTTCTTTTCTTTCCAAAAAGTATCAAATATAAACAACCCCATTGATCTCTCTCTTTATGTGTCGAACATTACAATTCTCGTATTTGTTGTGCTTAGTTATAAACACACACTACAAGACTCGGCCAACGATCTTGTTTCTATCTAAAACAATCCAAAGGGTACTAAGTACCAAGAGTGCCAAAGCCATGGAATTTTTTAGGACGACGATGAGCTCAGCTATCTGATCTTCAGGCCAGATAAAGGAGGGCTGTGGGATTTGTTTAAGTACACAATGTTCGGAGACATAGGCAGTGGTATTGAGTTCTTTGAGAGCTCAGACCAAGAACTGGTGGCGAGGGTTGCGGAGGAGCACAGATGGGGCATGGCAGTGACCGTCGTTGTCAGCAAAATCATCACACTTTTCTGGAAGCCTATGGAGTTGGCTGGCTTCCTCCTCGACTTCCTCCTCAACTTCGTCTTTCAAAATGGATACAGTTTTGGCTTACTTTACAATCTGCTTCAAGGTAAATACTATCTCATGTTTATTATCTGTACCCTTCTACTAGCTAAAACATAACATAAACAATTTTTTTAGGAGAACTTTGTCGGTACTGTTGTGAGTATGAATCTCATGTGGGAACTAAGGCTTACATAACAGTTAAAACAAGTATTCATGCCCGCGCATTGCGGCGGGTCAAGAAATTTATCATGTAAATAAAAAAATTTACTAAAAATTTTAATACCATATATTTGTGCAAAAAAAAAAAAAGAATAAAAAAAAGAATTCTTGTTTATTCTCTCCTCAAAATGAAATTAAAACAATATTAAGAAAAAAACATTTGTTTTCAACAACAATACAACTAAGTGTGCTTGCATATTTTGGCATTCAACCCTCTATGAATATTTGATGAAATTGAACTTGTCCTACTAATGAAACCATTAACCCTAAAAAGAAACCAGATCACGTAAATGAGTTATAGCTGATTGTGTCAGGCTCAGTATAAACCTAAACAGACAAAGACATTACTCTAGTCAAAGATCACCACAGGGCCAAACCCACAAATCCACAGCAAAGGGCCAAACCCACAAATCCACACCAAAGCCTGTGTATGATCCAAACTCACAAACCCACACCATAGCGCATAATTACATTAAAAATAAAAATAAAAACCAAATTTTCCAAGTTTAGAATATAGTAATAACTTGAGGTTGAATGTTCACTTTTTAACATGTTATCAGACTATTCATGTATTGGGTGTCCCAATGGCCACACTAGCAAAATATAACTCAAACATAGATGGAGAGATTCTTTGTGCAGAACGTCCTATCTTTCTTAAATAGACGATATGTTGAGAAAACCTCACTTCTTTTCAGTTTTCTTCAATGTGCCCTTATTTATTAACATTATTGGTTATTTAGTTAGGTTATACAACCCTTTAGAGCTTCAATATTAGGTGTAAGGTCTAAGTTCTAAATGATGATTTCGCACTTTTTAACAATCAATCATATCGACAAAAGGGATTGAAGTTAAAGAAAATGCAGTAGAATCTAGGTTTTCTCAACGCGTTGACAGGACCCTCTGGGACTGCATATCAACATGCTAAACATTCAGTTCATGGCGACTGGAAATCTTTTGTATACAAGGGAGAAAAGTAGTCATATATGCAGAATTAATGCTCTTGGAACTTTTGTACATATCTTTCTATTCAATTTGTGCCTACCTACACATATGCTTTAATGTTGAATGGTGAAGCAGGAAAAGTGATGGTGCCGCAGAGGGACACAAAGACTTTCATAAGAATATTTGGTCACTTAGATGGGAGGGTAGACCTCCGCAAGGGTGAAGACTTAGCAAAAGACATAGTTGCTTCTATTTCTGAAGGAACAAGCGTGAAATTGGGGAATCCGACTCTTATGGACCTCTGCATTATGGCTTCCAAGTTAGCATATGAGAATGACAAAGTCATTAGAAAAGTTGTGGTAGACAATTGGAAGGCAAGTTATATCTATGGGAAATGAACTCCAAGCTCTCGTTTCTCCCTCTACACTCCTCTCTTTGTTTCTGTCCCTTAATTCTTACTTTAATTTATTCAACCTAAAAGCTAAAAAAAAAAAAAAAAAAAAAAAAAAGGAAAAAGAGAAAAGAAAAGAAAGGGCTACAGGGAAAAAAAAGGAGTGCGGAAATCATTTCACGTATTCTATTCTTCTTCGGTTCTCTCTTCATTTTTCTTAAATACTAACTAGTTTAGATTTGAGCTTCCAATGATGCAGATGCATTTTGTGGACTTCTGCAGTTGCTGGAATGGTAAGAACTACATTTTGAACATTTTGGTCATAAAAAATTTCAAAGTTATGAGCTTCAAAAGTCCAATTCATTTTTCCTCTCCCTTTTTGGATGATGATATGATTAGATTTTCGCAAGCAGATGTCTACAAACTTGTTCATACTTTGTGACAAGCCTAAAGATGCAAATCTGATATTGATCAGCTTCCAGGGAAGGGAACCTTTTTAGTAAAAAGGTTTTTACGCCAATATTTGGAGTACCGAATTTGACTACTCTTGGTATGAAATTTCCAATGTGGGGAAAGTACACATGGGATTCCCAGAAGCCAGCTTGGGGAACAGAACTACTGTTGTAACCCTTCGAAACGACCTTCAAATGAAACACAAAGAGAATGAAAGCAGAAGTTCTTCCGCAGGCCCCAAGGCATACTATGTTGTAAGAAGAAAGCTCAAGGGATTACCAAAAAAATGCAAAATTTGTAGTCACGGGGCATAGCCTCGGCGGAGCGCTTGCCATATTGTTCACGTCAGTTCTGGTGTTGCATGAGGAAATGAAGGTGATGCAAAGGTTGTTGGGTGTGTACACATTGGGACAGCCTAGGGTAGGGGATAGGCAGCTGGCGAGGTATGTGGACACGAGTTTGGGTAGCCCAATCCCAAAGCACTTCAGGGTTGTCTACTGCAATGATCCCCTGCCCCGGTTGCCTTATGATTACGAAAACTTCATGTTTAAGCATTTTGGGGTATGCCTTCACTATGACAGTTGTTACATCGAACATGTAAATCTTCACTATTCAAGCCTTTGATTTTACACTCCGTTTAAGAAATTGTTGTTAGCACTCCAAAATAGTGATTTTGCACCCTTCTCTCGTATATATTTTATTGAAAATGGTTTGTATGGATGAGTTGTATGTATGAGTTGTCATCCTCACTTTAGCTAAGTCATAGGCTAAATTCACTTTCCATAGCTTGTCATTCACCAGTCACTTTCCATAGCTTGTCATTCACCTTACATCAACCTTTCCATAGCTTGTCATTCACCTTACATCAACCTTTCTTAGTTGCTTGTAAAAGCTTCTTTACTTGTAATTTGATTTTTTCTTTTCCACTTGTTAGGGCAGATTTTAGGGATTGTGTTTGTGTAGTTATCCTACAATCTATTGTAGCTTTCTTTTGGCTCTCTATAAGAGTTGCCTTCACTCTCTTGTAACATTCATAATGAAATATACAACAAATATTGAAACCAAACTCAACATATTTTAAATTTCTTATTCTTCTAGTACTTTGTTATTTTCTTCTTTGACATGCATTTTTGAAGAGATTGGAGGATGAGCCAGGCAACAGTTACTTTGGAATGAAATAACTAGTACCAGAATATCTGAATCCTGTTTGGGAGCTGATAAGAAGCTTAGCAATGGGCTACACACATGGACCAGAGTATCGAGAGGGGTGGCTCTCCATTTTCGTACGAGTGACAGGACTTCTGTTTCCCGGTACCTCAGCACATTCCCTTACATATTACATCAATTCCGTGAAGCTGGGAAAGGGGCACTTCGTTCGGATGTCTAAAACTCATGAGGTCGAGTCATTTGAATGCCGTCAGCCTTGGATCATATGATGATATGGCTTGTAGTCCAAGTAATTTACTGCACTCAACTAGTAGAACTGTACCTAGTCTCTGGCTTTGGTTTTACATTAGTTTTGTTGTTGACAGTTTCACCAACGGATCAATTTCGGTTCTGCCTCTGAAATGTCCAGATCTCAGCCCCCCAAAAAGACTAGAAAGTTTGGTTATTGCAATATTTGGAATTCCCTGTGCATGAAGTCTGTCATTTGTTGAATGATGGATTCTGTATCGATATTGTAAAAAATGTATCAATAACATGATACATTTTGCTACCGACATGTTAATTACTAATGTTATCAACGGCTTATCAACACCATATTGACAGTCCATCTTTTAGTAAAGAAAGGACGTCCTATCCAGAGAAAAATCGATTAAACTAGAACCTCTTCTTGCCTAAAATATCACCTCAAATATGCCATTCATCTTCCAATTCATCGTCAAGTTCAATCTTTGGCACAGTAGCACAATCTTCTTTTGAATAACTACAAAAATTCAATATGTATATTACTCTTTTACAAAGAACAAACCATACGTAATAATACAGCAGATCCAGTAAAAAGAAAATTCCCCTGTGCATGTCAGGTGGTTTATTAGTATGCAGTTTCCTAATTTTATTACACATAAAAATTGCAACAAAAGCTAATGGATTTTCTGACCTTTTAGCACCCATAAAACTGACCATCACCAAAAACCCAAATGTCAATCTCTTTTGCAGATACTCAGCATCAATCATGTGAGCAAATGCTGCTGAATTTGCCTTCAGTGTATCGATAACACATTGATACGTTTTGCAGATATCCGTGTATTTTCTTCAGACTGTATGGGCTGATTGCATGACACTCAGGTCCAAATTCTTGAGCCTCAGTACAGATTCTACATGTCCTTTCAGAGTGTGTATCTCCCCGAGCCTGGCAATTTCAGCGCGCCGCCTGGCCTGTTCTGCAATCAAAGAAGAACGCTTGCCGCTCCTGTTGATCTCAAAGTCTTGCAACCCTTGTAAGCTTTTCTGAGAAAGTATCCATTTAGCCGCACGATCTTCCTTCCCATAGTCTTTCTTACTAGTAAAAGCTGTCTGTTGAAGATCAAAAGGCAACATAGAAATCAGAAGTTAGCATTTCAAGTCGAATGCTAGAAAATTTCAATGCAACTTAGAACATTGCACAAACCTTTCTTTCGAATAACAGATTCCAGGCATCTCCGGTCAATGCATAGCGAATTATGAATTTAATGATGTCCAAAGGAATGTAGAAAATCACACTGTACAACCAGATGATACCGGCCCATCCCCATCCAATGCCACTGATATATGCAAAGCTGATTCTTGCATATACAGCAATCAGAGTTGCCACCTAATATTTTATAGAAACAAATTTTCAATTCCTGAAATGTAACTCAGATTGTGCGGAAATTTTCTTAGATGCAAGTGAAATAGGCATACCAGTTGAGCCAACACAAAGGCACACATCAACATTGTTCCGGGCCTCTCAAGAAATGACCACCCCTGGCTTCTTGTCACAAATATGAGAGCCTGGCTGATGATACTGACTTGCAGATATACAGCAGATGAAACTTCCTCACTACTGCTCGATAAATCTCTTACATTGAAGGTGCTCTGTAAGCGATATAAAATCAGTAAGCATCGTAAAGGTAAACCGAGTTAATGTATCTTCTGCGGCTTATTTTGCAGAGGATCTTAGAAAACAAAGTCAGTAAGCAGCATTTGTGTTTCATACCTCAAAGAAGTCAGTTTCAACAACAACCCAGTAGAATAATACCGTAACTAAAGCAAGGTATGTGCCAATGACAATGCCAGTAGCAAATATCTCTTTCAGCTTCCAACTATCAGGCTTTGGGGAGGGCTTTACGCGATCCTGCGAAATTGTCATGATGGTTCCTGCATTTAAAATTTAAATACTGTCAAGTACTCATTTTCGATAATTGTCTGTGAATGTCTAAACATAAATGATGTCCAAATTCGTTTGCATCTGTTATATTTTTCTTAATATTCTTCCACATGATCTTAAATTTCTTTTTGAATGTTGCTTGATCCTATTAGAATAAAAGGAATCAATATTAACGCTAACGCAGTTCAATATATTACCGTCATTCAGTATGGCTATTATCAGAACCATGAAAGGTGGGAAGTCATATTCCCAGATCAATGCAAGAAGCACGAAACCAAGCTGCAGAAGGATGAAGTTTAAAACACTATGGAAAGTTGAAACGTAACCAATCTTGAAAGACTTAGCTTCAAGTCTAAAAAATTAATTGAAGATTGAGACATAAATAGAAACATACCACAATCCTAATGGTTATGGAGACAGCATATATCTGCGTATTCACAGAAACTAATCAGTTTACTATCGAAATAATGCAGAAACAAAGAACAAAGGCAAACAAAGAAAGAAGAAAAAGATTGCTACTCAACCGTGTAATTCTTCATTCTTTGGAATATAGCGCGACTGGTGAGGACAGCACTGACTATCACACTCAATCCAGGCTCAGTTAAGACTATATCAGAAGCACTTCTTGCAGCATCTGTGGCATCTGCCACTGCTATACCAATGTCTGCTTTCTTTAAAGCAGGTGCATCGTTAACTCCGTCTCCAGTCATCCCAACCACGTGCTTCTTTTCTTGTAAAATCTTTACAATTTCATACTTGTGTTCTGAAAGTTGCACAGCAAGGATAAGCTAATTGAGTGATTTAGAGAGAATGTACTTAATTCGTGAGATAGGAGTTCAGTTAATTACCAGGGAAGACACCAGCAAAGCCATCAGCCTTCTCAATCAAGTCTTCCACCGGAAGAGCTTCATGTTCTTCTACATGGCGGCCTAATAACGAAGAGGAGGGATACATGTTTGTTCCCATACCAAGTCGCCGCCCTGTTTCCTTTGCAATTGCCAACTGATCACCTAATGTGAGAACAACTCAAGAATCAGTATCTATCCTTGACATTTATGCTCAAGGGTTTTTGATTTCAGTCAAAAAGACGACAATCACAACTGTATGTGAGGTCAAGATGATGCATAAAAATGTACCTGTAATCATCTTCACACAGACTCCGAGGTTAAGCGCTCTACGGATGGTCTCAGCACTGTCATGCCTTGGAGGATCAAACAAGGGCAACAACCCAGCAAATATCCATGGACCTCCAGGGCTATCCTTAGTTTTTTCGGGAACTTCCTGGCAGTAGCACAATTTGGGAGTTGTAAAATGTCAGAAATTTCAACCGGTGCTCGAAAAAACTATTGTTACCCAAATTTAGAACATAGGTTGTCTGGCATACCTGATAAGCAACTCCAAGAGACCGCAATCCCCTTTCGGCGAATTTGTCAATAATGGAATGCACCCTTCCAGCAATCTTGTCTTTGTCCGGGCATAGATCTAGAATCTGATTTCAGGATGACAATAAAAACAAAAAACAATGGAATTCATGTTTTCTGCACTGCTACAGCTATAACTTATAAATTGTAAACCTAATTTTGCTTTCAGTTCTTTCCTCACTACAACATTAAAAGTCTATACATTAAAGGGAAGAATACTTGAGAAACAAGTTAAGTTTAGGGTTCTTGTTCTCCTAACACATCAGTACCTGTTCCGGAGCTCCTTTGCTAGCCCGATACCATTTACCTTCCATATCAATGTATGTAATAGCAGTACGCTTGTCCACCGGATTGAAGGGCAGAAAATGCACTTCTGTAATACCCGCCCGTGCCTATAGATGAAGGGGTAATTTTATGCATAAGGGACTAGCAGCATAGAACAGAAAACAAACAAAACAACGGGGTTCAAGTGTAATCCTATATCCCTACCTCCTTCGGATCAGCAAGCATATTGACGATGGCTGCATCAATAGCGTCCTGGTTCTCCAGTCTAGCTGCTCTGGCTGCAAACATGATAACCGCGTCTTTATCTAGATCTTTGTTGAAAACCTGCAAATAATATGTTTTTTATGTATCTATACCAAACATGCCATATCAAGGACACCTAATATTAAAATTTGCCTCCATGGTTCGAAGATTACTTCCATGGAACAAACTAACTGCTAGAATTAAGTAATTATCACGGAGTCAGCTTTCATACCTCGACTAGGTTTCTATCAACAGTGAGGCGATTCAGAGTGAGAGTTCCGGTTTTGTCACTGCAGAGGACATCCATTCCTGCCATCTCTTCAATTGCTGTCATCCTTTTCGTAATGGCACCCTAAGTCGCAAAATAAAAGACAGAAGGTATGCAAACAATGTCAGTGTGAATATTTCAGATTATGGTATATAAGTTGACAGATTTCTTTAGAAGCATAAAATTTCTTGAAGGTTCCACAATATCATGGACTCGAAGCTATTAAGAGATGCACCTGTTGAGAAAGTCGATGAGAACCAATGGCAAGTGTGACAGATAACACCGTTGGCATAGCGATCGGAATTCCTCCAATTAAGAGAACAAGGAGGTTGTTGATTCCATCCCTGTAAGAGCGGTGCTGTACTGGGAACATGACAATGATTTCAAGAATCATTCCCACAGCAATAGAGCAAATGCAGAAATTCCCAATGGCGGTAAGTACCTGCAGAAAAATCACGTTACTGATGTAACATCACGATTTCAACTTTTGAACCATCATGAGGTGCATGTTAGGCTATTTAATTACCTGCTGGAAATGTCCAACAACTTCAGTGGAGTCCACCAAATGTGCTGCCCTTCCGAAAAAGGAGTTAACTCCGGTTGCGATCACAACAGCTTCAATCTCTCCATGCTTACACGTTGAACCAGAAAATACTTCATCACCTGTCTTCTTGGTGACAGCTAGAGACTCTCCTGTAAGAGCTGACTGCCAGAAACAAATTCAACAATACTACTTCATTTCCGGATTCATATTAAATTTATATCGAAAAATTACAAGCATATCAATCAGATATCCATTTATCAACAAAAGCTGGCTTTTCAAGCACTTGCCTGGTCAACTTTCAGGGGATCTCCTTCAAGCAGACGAGC